CGCAGCCAAGGGTTGGAGAACCCCTCCCGGGCACGGGAAATCCCACCCAGGGCGTCCACTCGTAGGGGAGGGCTCCACCTCTGCTGGGAGGGGGTCCAGCTTTTCTGGCCTTGGAGAAACAAGCTCACAGAGCTACGAGTGTGCAAAACCATCTGGCTCCCTTCTCCTCCTGGGTTCCACCCAGAGCCTGGCCAGGGCTTAAGGGGAAAACCAAGGCAGTCAACCTGCCCCATCTGCTGCCAAACAAGGCCACACATCCACTGCCATGGCCTTGACCACTCTCTAAAGACAGGAAGATAAAGATCACATTTTGCTCACAATCAGACATAAGATTTGATTAATGAACACATACAAATATCATTCACTAATGAGTTGAGACTCACAGATCTCACTAATAAGCACATTTATTTTGTTCATGGGCAGATACACGGGTAGTCTTTGCACACAGTACATCTTTGACCAACAAACATACACAGGTTTAGCTAAGGAGCAAATACATGGATAAAGAGACCAGTAGGTTGGAAGGTTCATCTAGAGCTCAGCTTTGGCTCAGGGGCTGTTGTTCAGCCTCAGCACTTTCAGGGACAGCCGGACAGGGCTTTATATCCCACACACACAGTTTCTATATTCCTTAGATATTCTCCCTTACTTAATACATAGACATTACTTTGCTTTACACAGTCACCTCCCCATTGCAAGTCCTTAGTTGGTCCTCTGGGGTCTTCTTCAGAGCTCTCTGGTGGGGTTTTTTTGGCATGTGGTGCCCCCAAAGTTGAGGTGTCCACTTCTTGACCTCGGTTCTGAGCAGACACAGTGTCATTACCTTTCACCACAAAGACTGTAACGTTTGGGTTTGATCTTCTCTGGGTGCACAGAGCTCAGCTTCCATCCTGTTTGCTTAGTTACATCCCCGATCGAATTCTCTAGGACCTCTCCAAGATTATGGTTTTCCTTCCTTGGCCATAGAGAAATGTTGGGAGCAGTGTTCTATATCCCACATCAAATCCCTCCTTTTCTTCAGACTAAGCTGAGTCATGATGCAAGCTGAAATACAAATGCTCTTCCAGCTTTGGGGCAACCCTTCACAGGTGTTATTTCCACACAACCAACACCACCCCGTTCCATTGGGGACCGGCCAAGGATCAGTCATTTCCCCAGCAGGAAGGGTTTGAGGACATTGGGGGTGATTTCCCACAAACGTGCCCCTTTCATTAACACAATCCAGTTCTCCTGTCCCTTTAGTGGGGGTCACAGCTTTGGACACAGGCAGGATTGTCAGAGATGGGGGGGTACTTGCACACTAACTGCTGGGTCTACTTTTTGGGGAACACAAGTGCCCACCCAGTGACCAGGAATCATTTCTGCCAGAATAGGGGAGGCAGAAATGGTGAATGGCTTCCTTGTCTTTTCAGGTAAATGAGTGCACACCCAACAATCCCTTGGAGGCAACACTTGGGTCACATTTGAGACTAAAAGGAGATGTAAATTTTGCTCCCAAGTCAAGACCCAATTAACTATTGTCAGGAGAGCAAAACAGGACTAAAGGATTTTGTTTCTTCAGACAACCTCTCAATTACCCAAGGGGCTCTGGCCTTTGGAATTCTGGAATAATGCATCCCTGATTTGACTTCTTGTACCACTTCTACAATCAAGTGGGAACCTCTGTCTGATGACATTCCCAAATGTACCTCGAATCCAGGGATTCTTGGATTCAACAGTATTCCACTCACTTCCCTAGCCCAGTTGGTGTCACAAAGGAAAACCTCTGGCCACCCAGAGAAGGTATCCCCCAAGACTAGGAGATCTTTACACCCCCCTTTTCTGGGCAATTCAGTCAAATCCATCTGCCAACATTCACCTGGAACATTTCCACACTGTACATCACCTATTCCCCCTGCATTGGCAGAGTTGGATCATTTCTCTCACACACCACACTGCTGACTCACTGCTTGTACAACTGGGTCAGTTTTGCACCCCTAACCCACCTGTGCAAATGTTACAGTACAGAGACAAATACAAACACAAAACAAGGATCAGTGGATAAAACAAAGCCAGAGACCAAATTGTGGAATACCAAACAACCCACCCAAAGTGCTGGAAGATCCACACATCTTACAGGAGCAGGATTCCCCAAAAGAATGCCTTATTATCCAATGGGATCTTCCCCACATCCCAGACTGGGATGGGGATCTGTGCTCTTCTCCAGGAAAGTCCTGGGGCCGGCGTGAAGATCCAGAGATCCCTCGGATCCACGGGAGATCAGGCACAGGGTCCCACCTGGGGGCCAGAAATGATCCCCACAAGCAGCAGAACCCAAGCCCTTCACCCCAGTTGGGGTGTTAAGAAGCAGGCATTCTTTAGGGCAGCGTGCTGGACGCCTGCAGGAGAGTTCTTCTAATCCAGCCTGCTCAGGGACACAGGCAGGGCTTGGGATTACACACACTGATTCCAGAGGCATTGGATATTCTCCCTTACTGAACACATGTCCATTACTTTGCTTTACACAGTCACAACCCTATTGCAAGTACCTATTTGGTCATTTGGGGTCTTCTCTGGGGGTCTCTGGTGGGTTTTTTGGCATCTGGTGCCCCCCCAAAGTCAGGTGTCCCCTTCTTGACCTCGGTTCTCAGCATCACTGCTTTTCCCCACAGAGACCAGCATGTTTGGTTTGATCTTCTCTGGGTCCCCAGAGCTCAGCTCACATCCTGTTTGCTTGAGTTCCAGCCCTGATCCAATTCTCCAGGACTTCTCTAAGATTCTATTGTTCCTTATTTGGCCAGAGCAGAATATTGGGAGCAATGTTCTACTTCTCCCAAACCAAGGCTCCCCCTGCCCCATCTGCTGCCAAACAAGGCCAGACATCGACTGCCATGGCCTCGACCACTCTCCAGATACAGAAAGATAAAGATCACATTTTGCTCACAATCAGACATATTTTGTTAATGAACAGGTACAAACAGGATTCACTAATGAGCCCAGACTAACAGATCTGACTAATAAGCACACCTGTTTGCTCAGGAGCAGATACACAGGTGGAGTCCCATCACAGCACATTTTTACCAACAAACAGACCCAGTTTTAGCTGATGAGCAGATACATGGAGACACAGCCCATTAGGTTGGAAGGTTCATCTAGAGCTCAGCTTTGGCTCAGGGGCTGTTGTTCAGCCTCAGCACTTCAGTGACAGCCAGACAGGGCTTTACATTACACACACAGTTTACAGGTTCATTACAGAGTCTTGCTTACTTAATACAGACACTTTTAGACAACATTTGGATCACATTTGGCACTAAAAAGAGATGTAAATTTTCCTCCCATGTCAACAGTGTTTGAACTGTTGTCAGAAGAGCAAAACAAGAGTGAAGCATTTTGTTCCTGCAATAAGTGGGAACCTCTGTCTGATGGCATTCCCAAAGGCATCCCAAATACAGGGAGGATTGCATTGAACAATATTGCAGTCTCTTTCCAAACCTTCTTAGTGCAACAAGGAAAAGCCTCTGGCCACCCAGAGAAGGTATCCCCCAAGACTAGGAGATCTTTACACCCCCCTTTTCTGGGCAATTCAGTCAAATCCATCTGCCAACATTCACCTGGAACATTTCTACACTTTACATCCCCTATTCCCACTGCATTGGCAGGGGTTGGATCATTTCTCTTACACACACCACACTGCTGACTCACTGCTTGTACAACTGGGGTCAGTTTTGGACTTATTATAATCCACTTGTGCAAATGTTTCAATGATTTGCTTCACTCCAAGGAATACCCTCGTGTTCCCCATCCACCAGGTCACACCAGATTGGTTCAGGGACTATTATTTGCCCACCTGGGGTAACTGCCCAGCCTCCTGGAGCAAATTTTGCTCCTAAAGTTTCAATGAGCTGACAATCCTTAGCACTACACTAGTTTTTTTTTCTACTGGGAGAGGTATCTCTGTCAGGGTTATTAAAGACAAAACTTTACTCTCTAAAGTGCCTTTTTCTGCAGCCTCTTTGGCAGAATTATGGGACAAATGATTCCCCAGTTCTGCTTTGGTCTTCCCCTCTTGGTGCACTCTGCAATGCAGGACAGCAGCCTCTGTTGGTTTCTGGAGATCTTCAAGCAAGTCCAAGGATTAACTTGTTCTCCTTGACTCAATCCCAAAGCTGGAGTGAGCACAATTGGTTCTGCTTTCTGGGCTGAGGCACTGCAGAGGAGTGCCCCCAATTCCATGACCTGCTGGGGGGAGTTCCTGTGCATCCAGAGAATTGTTTTCCACGCTGGACAAAGCTGCCCCCACTGGGAAACAATTCCCAACCAGGACTTTCCCAGGGGCTGTCTCCTGAGTCAGCTCTGCCCGAATACACTTCTCCTCTAGTCTGGAAGCAATCACTCTCTGGGCTTCCTTTGCTGGGGCTGGGGCAGTTGACAGGTTGCTTCTTTTGTTCCTGGCCCAGCCTCCCTTGTCCTTGGAGAATTCCAAAGCCCAGGGAGGCTCCTGGGGTCTGGACTACTTGCACTTTGTGTTTGGGACACCCCGTATCCACCCAGTCCAAGGAAATTCCACAGTGTCTGATCCCAACATTGCTGCTCAGCATCAGTGGCTATCAAAATATCCACACACTGGAACAAGGCTCCAAGAGGGTTTTGACTTCTCCATTCCTCCAGTTCCTTTGCCAATTGAGTTCCAAATACTGGGGGGATATTTTTAAACCCCTGCAAGAGGACCACCAAAGTCAGCTGGGTTTTCCTCCCTGTTTTTGGATTTTCCCAGTTGAAAGCAAAAAGCTCTTGACTTTCACAACTCAAAGGGAGACAGAAAAAGGCATCTTTCAAATCTAATACTGTGAAACACACTAAACTTTCATTTAGGGGAGTTAGCAAAGTGTAAGGATTTGCTATGACTGCTTGTATATCTTCCACTCGATTATTTATAGCTCTGAGGTCTTGGACTAACTGGGATAGCCTTCCATTTGCCCCCTTGACTGGCAAAATTGGAGCATTACATTTAGATTCACATTCTTTTAACAAGCAAAATTTCATCAGTTTTTCTACAAAGGGTGAGAATCCCTCACAACTTTCCATTTTCAAAGGCTATTGCTTTGGCCTGACCAGCCCTGCTCCAGGTTTCACTGGAATTCTCACAGTTCTGCTCTTTTGGATCATGGAGGCACCTCTCCAGCCCATCCTACTGGAATCACTGCATCCCCAAGTGACGTTGGCAGATGGATTAGTTCTGCTTTTGGAGACTCTCATGCAAAACTAGAATCTTCCACAGAATTAGGCTCCGCAATAATAACTTATATTTTATCATTTTTAAATTGGATTGTGGCATTTAATTTTTCCAAGAGATCTCTCCCAGGCAGAGGCTTTGGGGAATTGGGGAAATACTGGGGAGCCAACCACTGTTTTCCCAGTTTTAAATCCACAGCATTAAAAATGGCCCAGTTTCCCAATTCCCTGTCACACCAGACAGTTGTTCCAGAATTGTGACTTGAGTTTCATTTTCCCTTATTTAAGACAGGGGAACAAGTTCCCACAGCCACAACCAATTGTACTTAGCTTGGCTGGAACCAGATGTTCTGATGGGGAAGAATCCTCTGGTGCCCCCTCAGTCGTCTTCAGTGATGCCAGAAGAGGGTTGGGAGGGTTCTGAAGTTTCAGTTGTGGATAATCCCATTTCCAGTGTCCATCTTTCTTACAGGATGCACAGGGATTGATCCCAAGTCTCCTGGGGGGGATGTTTGAAGCAGGCTGCCCATGCTCTCATCCTCTTCCTCTCCCCGGGGGCACCATTTCCTCAGGGATTTCTGAAGCTCTCTGCTCTCTCTCTGACACATTCTCTCTCCTTTTCTTCTGGACATGCTAAATCTGCCTCTTCACATGCCAGTTCCCCTGCAAGATTGGTTTCTGCATCTTGATTTTCTGTTCCCCCACTCAACCTGCCCGTGGGGCCAACCAGAAGATCTGAGTCCTCCTCTTTATTGGGGAGATGATGAGAACAAAGTTCTCCTGTGCTCCACACTGAACAACAAGGCTTTAACCATCTCCCTTGATTTTCCTTTCCGGGCTCACACCAAGGGCTCTGAGGGCGCTGCATTCACACCACAATCCTTCTGCCATTTCACAGGTTCTGCAAAGTGAAAAACACATCAACACACAGAACCTCCTTCCACTTCTGTTCCCGTTCTGAAACAGCACCAACTGTAACAATGGATTATAATTCAATGTTCCAGAACAGCCACCCATTGATTACAACACTTCATTAAATTCTCCCTGGGAGCTGTTCCTCTGAGGGGGCTGCCAATCTTCATCCAAAATTGCAAAATGCAACAAAGTGGGGATTTCTTCACAATTCCCCCTTCAGATTGCCCACTCCCCATCTCTAAACACTAGACCCAAAATGTTACAATACAGAAACAAATAAGAACACAACAATATTGATCGATAAAACAAAGTCAAATACCAAATTCCAAAATAACCCACCCAAAGGGCTGGAAGATCCACAGGTCTCAGATGAGCAGGATTCCCCAAATACCAAAGAACCCCCCCAGTGCGCTGAAAGATCCACATGTTTGACATGGGCAGGATTCCCAAAGAGAATGCCTTGTTATCCAGTGGGATCTTACCTGTGTCCCAGACTGGGCTGGGGATCTGTGCTCTTGAATACAGCAGAGTGTTTAGTCTTCTGTCAAGGCAAAGGCCTAGACTGTTTGGAGAACAGCGTATCAGGGCCTAAACCACAGAATACGGTCAAAAATTAGGTAACAATGTACCCTTTGTGCTCTGAGGATGATGAGGATGATGAAAGGGGGGTCCCAAAATACACCCCAGACCCATTTCTCAGGGGGAGGACCCGGGGCGGACCAGAGGAAGGGCCAAAGGGTGGACACATCTGGGATTGGATGGATAATGTTATAAAATGTAACCTCTCAGGCACGGCCTGCACGCGCGTCTATATCACCGACTGCCTTGGCAAATAAACCCTTTCTTATCTCACCCCTAACTAACTGCTCCGGAGATTTTTTTCAGCACCAAAATACACAGGCAACACAGTGATATCAGTTACCTTGAAGGGACTTGCTCAACCTTTTGGCCTCTTGGGCCAGTTGTACAAGAACAATACTCAGTTTTGTTTATGGGAATGGGTTTTTCCAGCTCATCAGTTTTCTAAAACAGTAACGACTCAGCCAGAAATGATATCACGCATATTTCAGAGAGGCTGCATTAGGTGCTGGGAACTTGCAGGGTGTGACCCACGTACTGTGTATTTGCCAATGACAACAGAGCATTTACAATGGCTAGAGAAGGCTAGTTTTGAATTTCAAACTGCCTTAAGTGATTTTACAGGTCAGCTAAGTATTCACCTACCTGCTTGTTCTATTTTACAGTGTTTAAACAACTTTCCTTTGAAGCTGAGAACACACTGCTCCCCTATTCCTTTAACAGATGCACAAACTGTCTTTACTGGCGGTTCAGGAAAAACGGGAAATGGAGTCGTAGTGTGGCAGAAAGATAATGACTGGCAACAGGATATACATCATGTGGATGGGTCACCACAGCTTGTAGAATTATCAGCAGTAATCTGCACACTTACACTCTTTCCAGGACCTTTAAACATAGTTTCTGATTCTCAGTATGTTGTGGGAGTGGTTCAACAAATTGAACACTCCTATCTGAAAGAAGTCAATCATGCGGCACTGTTTGCCCTATTCAAAAAATTACTGTTTCTAGTTGAAAAGAGGCAATTTGCATTTTTCATCATGCACGTGCATCCTCATACCTTGCCTCCTGGTCCAATTTCAGAGGTAATCGACGTGCAGATGCACTTGCAGGAGCAGTAATAGTACCTCAGTGATTTGAGCAAGCCGAATTGTCACATCAATTTTTTCATCAAAATGCAAGGGCATTAAAAAGATAATTTGATCTCACATCAGAGCAAGCTCATTCTATCATAGCATCCTGTCCAGACTGTCAGCTAATCACTCCCATTGCTCCTGAAGGAACCAACCCTTGAGGACTGTAACCCCTGCAGCTGTGGCAAGCAGATGTAACACACATATCCTCTTTTGGCAAACTGAAATATGTACATGTCTCCATTGACACGTTTTCAGGATTTCTAGTAGCTACAGCTCATTCTGGGGAGAAAAGCTGGGATGTACAATGTCACCTCCTTACAGCCTTTGCACACATGGGAGTACCTAAGCAAATTAAAACAGACACTGGACCTTCTTATATGTCCAAACGCACAAAAGAATTTTTTGAACAATGGGGAATACAACATCTAACAAGTATTCCACACACCCCCACAGGTCAGGCTGTAATTGAGTGTGCACACTGCACACTCAAAGACGTTGCAGAAACAGAAAAGAGGAAGTTCAGGTTTAACTCCCCAGGAGTGTTTAAATAAGGCTTTATATGTGCTTAACTTTCTAAATAGAATAGTAGGAGATCTCTCTGCAGCACAGCGTCACTTTGTCCCAGCACATGTTTCCACAGAGAGGAAGGCAGAAGTAATGTTCAGAGATCCAGTTACTAGAGAATGGCAAGGTCCTTGTCCCTTAATAACCTGGGGAAAAGGTTATGCTTGTGTCTCCACAGATCGAGCACCGCGATGGATACCTTCACGTTTCGTGCAACCCTACCTTGCATCATCTTCATAACAACAGCCATGCCTCCTGACTGGACCACCTTTGCCACCCAGAACGTCGGGGTGACACTCGCCAATGCAACCGGGACTGACACATTGTGTTTGTCTGTGGCTGCCCCAACTGATCCGTTCCGTACCTGTTTAGCAGGCCTTCCTTTCAATTGCACCCAGTGGATTACCTTTCTACACCAGTACTTGCCACAATTCTCTAACCTTCACAAGGCACAATGTGCCAATAACCAAAACCTTGAAAATAATTTTCCTTGAATTCCAATAGAACCCCAAGAAATTAATGTCATGGGCAGTCTGACTGCACCTTTCTGTTTTCAATTTGATCCCTCAGATTCAAATTCAAATCATTATTTGGCAATTGGCGTATCTCCTTCTGGAACATACCAAAAGGCTCGTTTTTGGTGTAAATCACCCAATTCTACAGTATTAAAATCAGGGGCGACACCTCTTGGCTTGCCCAATGGTATTTTCTTAATCTGTGGGCTGTGATTCTGGAAAGGTATTCCCACTAGAGCGAAAGGAGGACCGTGCACATTTGGAAAATTAACATCATTTAACCCTCACAAATTACCCATAAGCACACACATTCAAAAGAGGCAAAAAAGATTCGTGCAACGATACAATAAGAATTGCAATTCAAGAGTACATATCTGGGGCCCAGCTGAAAGAGTATTCTCCAGTCTTGTAGCTGGAATTGGAACAGCTCATGCCTTGACCACCTTGGATAGACCAGGCTGCTGGCTTGCCAAGTTCAGCAGCTGACGCCTTACTAACCGATGTCAGTTCAATTAGGAAAGCCACTTTGCAGAAAAGAGCAGCCATTGATTTTTTGCTATTGGCTCGTGGACATGGTTGCAAAGATTTTGAAGGCCTTTGCTGCATGAATCTTTCTGGTCACTCAGAGTTGATTCATCAAAGCCTTGCTCAATTAAAAACCCTAACAGCGCAGCTTAACGCAGAGAAGGACCAAGGCTTAGACAGTTTGTTTAGCTGGCTAGATATTCCCAGCTAGATGTTCCCAGGGACTTCCCACAGCCCCATTTCTCCCCTTGAAACCCACAATTCCACTGTCCACAAACCCCTCCCCACTGTCCCCAAACCCCATCCCTGATGTCCCCAACCCTCCATCTCACTCCAGGAGCCCCCCCTTGGACCCTCTGACCACAAAAATGACCCCCCCCCCCACGCTTACAGAAAGGCCAAGGGCATCTGGGGGCACGTGGGGGACAGTTGGGGGGGTTTGGGGGGCGCTGAGTAATTACTGGGGGGTACTGGGACACACTGGGAGGAACCAGGGGGCACTGTAAGGGACTGGAGGGTTACTGAAAGACACTGGGATGGCACTGGGAGGGACTGGAGGTGAACTGGGGCACACTGGGAGGTTACTGGGCCATACTGGGGGTTCACGGGTGCTCACTGGAGGATCACGGGCCCATAGTTGAAAGCAGTGGGAGGTCACTGGGACACACTGGATGGTCACTGGGGGGTTACTGGGCTGTACTGAGGGTCACTGGGAGGTCACTGGGACATACTGGGGGCACTGGGATCCCCTTACCCAGATGTGGTACATCTCCCTCCCCTGGATTTTGGGGGGCATCCCTAGGACCCCTGAGGGCTGGGGGACCCCATGAACCCACTGCTGGGCTTTAGGGGACTCCACAAAATCCCCTCAAAACCCCTGAAATCCCCCCCTCGACCCATCAAAACCTCCTCAAGGTCCCCTCAAATCCCCTCAGAGACCTCATCCCTCCCCAGCACCCTCTAAACCCTCCCAGTGATCCGCAAAACCCACCTGGGACCCCCCAAGCCCATTCAGGAACCCCCCAATCTCCCTCAAGGACCCTCAAAACCGTCTGGGACCCCTTAAACCCCCCAGAGACCCCAAAACTGCCTAAAAGGTCCCCACAAAGCCCCCCAGGACCCCCAAACCTCCTCACAGACCCCAAAGCCCACCTGGGATCCCCCAAATCTCCTCAGAAACTAAAACTCCCTCGGAGACCCCCAAACCCCTTCAGGGACCTTCAACCTCCCCCCGAGTCCCCTCAAGACACCGAACCCCCTCAGCGACCTCTCAAAACGTCCCCGAGAACCCCCGAACCCACGCGCTAAACCCTTCCGAGCCCTCCAGCCTTTCCACCCACAGCCGCGCTCCCCGCAGCCCCCGAGGGGATCCCCAGAGCCCCGCTCTCGCCACAGTCCCCGCCAGATCTTACAGCGACAAACAGGCCCCGGCGCCATTCCCGGAAGCCAAGGCGGCGCTCTGCGCGCGCACCGCGTTCAGAAAACACCACCGCAGCCAATCAGCGCGCGGCCCCTGCCCGCACGTTCGCCGCCGCGCCTGCGCTTTGCGCGGTGCGCTGTGGGAGTTGTAGTCCTTGCGGACGATCATAGCGGCCCTTTGCACGTGAGCGGATGAAAGACAAGACGAGGAATAAATAAAGAAGAAAGAAAATAGAAAGAAAAAGAAAAAAAAAGGAGAAAATAAAGACAGAAAAGCTAAAAACAAAAAAGTCCTACCCTCGCCTGCCGCAAGGACTACAACTCCCACAATGCACCGCGCGCGGAGAAGGCGTGGCGGAATGCGGGCAGGGGCCGTGGCCGCGCGCTGATTGGCTGCGGCGCGGGTCAGTCCAGGCGGTGCGCGCGCAGAGAATCGGTGATGGCGGCGGGGCCTGTTTGTCGTTGTGAGTCTGGCGAGGGGGGCGGCGAGAGCGGGGTCTGGGGATCCCCTCGGGGGCTGCGGGGAGCGCGGCTGTGGGTTGAAGGGCTCGGGAGGGTTTAGCGGAGGAGTTCGGGGTTCCCGGAGACGTTTTTAGGGGTCCCTGAGGGGATTCAGTGTCCTGAGGGGACTCGGGGGGGGGAAATTGAAGGTCCCTGAAGGGGTTTGGGGGTCTCTGAGGGGGTTTTGGTTTCTGAGGAGATTTCAGGTTTCCCAGGTGGGCTTTGGGGTCTGTGAGGAGGTTTGAGGGTCCTGAGGGGCTTTGCGGGGACCTTTTAGGCAGTTTTGGGGTCTCTGGGGGGTTTAAGGGGTCCCAGACGGTTTTGAGGGTCCTTGAGGGAGATTGGGGGGTTCCTGAATGGGCTTGGGGGGTCCCAGGTGGGTTTTGCGGGTCACTGGGAGGGTTTAGAGGGTGCTGGGGAGGGATGAGGTCTCTGAGGGGATTTGAGGGGACCTTGAGGAGGTTTTGATGGGTCGAGGGGGGGATTTCATGGGTTTTGAGGGGATTTTGTGGAGTCCCCTAAAGCTCAGCAGTGGGTTCATGGGGTCCACCAGTCCCCAGGGGTCCTAGGGATGCCCCCCAAAATCCAGGGGAGGGAGATGTACCACATCTGGGTAAGGGGATCCCAGTGCCCCCAGTCTGTCCCAGTGACCTCCCAGTGACCCTCAGTACAGCCCAGTAACCCCCCAGTGACCATCCAGTGTGTCCCAGTGACCTCCCACTGCTTTCAACTATGGGCCCGTGATCCTCCAGTGAGCACCCATGAACCCCCAGTATGGCCCAGTAACCTCCCAGTGTGCCCCAGTTCACCTCCAGTCCCTCCCAGTGCCCTCTGAGCATTCCTCGGTAACCCCCCAGTTCCTCCCAGTCCCCCCTGGTTCCCCGCAGTGTGTCCCAGTATCCTCCAGGAATCACCCAGTGCCCCCCAAAACCCCCCAGCTGTCCCCAACCTGTCCCCAGATGCCCTTGGCCTTTCTGTGAGAGTGGGAGGGGGTCGTTTTTGTGGTCAAAGGGTCCAAGGGGGGGCTCCTGGAGTGAGATGGAGGGTTGGGGACATCAGGGATGGGGTTTGGGGACAGTGGGGAGGGGTTTGTGGACAGTGGAATTGGGGGTTCCAAGGGGAGAAATGGGGCTGTGGGAAGTCCCTGGGAACATTGGAGACACCAGGGGGGTCTCAGGGTGTCAAGGGGGGAACTGGGGACACCAAGAGGGTCTTGGGGACACCGGGGGGGTCTCAGGACTCACCTGCTCATGGTGCAGCCCCTTCGCTCCCACCCAAGCCCCTCTAACTCCCCCCAAATGTCCTCTAACCTCCATTTTCCCTTTAATCCCCTCCCCCCACAGATCCCTTTGATGCCCCAATGCCCCCAAAACCTGTTTTAACTCCCCCAAATACACCCAAAGACCCCCAAAACCCCCCAAATCACCTTCCAACCTCCCCAAAGAGGGATCACCTGGCACCCTGGGACAGGAACACAGTGGGCTGTACTGGGGGCACTGGGCTGTACTGGGAGGGCACTGGGGGGGCTCAGGTGTCCCACAACAACGTGGCCCAGCTCCAGGAGAGATCTGGGGAGCAATGAGGAGGTACTGGTCTGTCCTGGTCTGTCCTGGTCTGTCCTGGTCTGTACCCCCAATCCCCAAAGCCCCTCCCCAGCTCCCCCAGGACCCTCCCGCACCCCAAAGCCTCCCAGGCCCCCCCAGGCCCCTGACTTGGTCCTGCTGCCCCTTGAGCATCTCCAACTCCTGCACAACCAGGCATTTCTTTGCTCCCCAGGGTCGTTCCCACACCCAGAATGGAATCTGGAGGCAGCAGGATGTGCACAGGGCTCCCATTTCCTGCAGTGCAAAGGGGCTGCAGGGAATGATTCCCCTGCTCTTGCAAATCTGCCAAAAGCTGCAGGGCACAGGAGGGGGAACTTCAGGAATTTGCTGGCCTTAGGAGTGGAGCTCACAGGGTATTGAGAGGAACATATCCCTCAAATACAATCTCTGTGCATACACAAGATCTGTCTGGACAGGCAGGTAAAGCAATAATCAGATATATTCTGTATCATATATCTGGCACATATTCTATAGAATCCATCCTTAGCTATTGTATGATATATCTATAAGATATTGCAAGTAATAAGCAATAATAAGGCAAGTGTCCTCCTTAGGGACACACTTCAGAAGGGACCTTGCACTTGATCCCCCCCCTCTTCAGCTTCGAGCCACCTGGTGCCACAGAGGGGGACAGAGCTCCTGTGGAACATTCTATTCCACTGACACAGAGCAAGGAATAAACCCAAACTACTGCCTGGGTTTGTTCCCTGGGGGTCTCTGCAGCAGCAGGCACAGCCCCACACTGACTGCTCTGGGCTGTGCAGGCATTTGTGGTTCTGCCTGTCTCACACACACAAAACAGTCTGGTTAGTGCTGCCCTCAGGAAACCCCCCCAATATTAAATTCAGTCCCCATCATGTAGTCGTGAAAGAAGTTGTCAGTGAATTTGCCAGAAAGCATGAAAAATAGAAGAGCACACAGTTATACACAAACGCAGGTAATTACTGTTCTGACCACACATTCCAGATTAATTTGGTGCAGTGATAATAAAAATCATAAACCCACGTAACGCTGTGCAAGAGAACACAGATTGACCAAGTGAAGTCAGACATTAACAGAGATAAATTCGAGAAGGTCAGCAGTGCACTGTTTTACTCCTGCTAACACTTGTGGGCAGTGTGACTGACTTCATGTACAGGATGGACGTACCTGTGCCCCGGGGCTGCCAGTGCCATGGTGGGCAGCAGGAACCACAGGGGATGGTGCCAGTGAGGCAAAGAGCCACAGCCAGATATTGGCTTCTGTGTCTGGGCCAGCAGAATGGATTCTGTCTTTCCATTTGCATGGCCCATTGCAGCTCAACAATTTCAGTGTCTGATTGCCCAGGATTCTCTCACACTGAACTTCACAGAGCAGCCTTTGGCACTGGTAGGCAAAAGTAGCCTTTAATCCTTGCAAACGTGGAAACTGCACATCCCAGGATATTGGCACAGCACAGCAGAGGAGTCCAGTTGTCAGAAAGGATGGCAGGGGAGAAGTGGAAGGAGAAAGCATTTGCACACCAAAGCACAGGGGTAATGATCAAGGCCTGAAGTCCAGTGAATTCATATTTATTCTCTACACTGAAACTAGGAAGAAAAAAATTGTGTTTAAAGTGACACTACGTTAATTCAGTTTTTGATTAATATATAACAATTCAATCAGGTGCTCATGAAGTGACCTCACTCCCCTCATCCTCCCAATTAAACACCTTTTTTTTGGCTGAATCTCCATATTCTGGAGTATATTTTGGCTGAATCTTTTGCAGTTTGGGGAGGGGTTCATCTTGCTATTTCTGAGGAGCTTTTTGTGTGAATCTTGTTAGTGGTTTGGTTTTTTCTGGGCTGAATCTTGGTGTTTTGGAGGTTTTTATGGTCACAGGATGCCCGGTGAGTTCTAGAGATGGACTTGGGCAGGAGGAACCCCCAAGCCAACGCGCTCAGCCCTTGTTTTCCCCCCATCAGGATTTGTCCTTCCCAAAGCTTGGGCGGATGGAGGAGGAGGCTGCGAGGAAGAGGAAGATGCCTTGGTCCCCCCAGGCAGGTGAGGAGGAAGTCAGTGTCCCTTTGGGCGGGTGTTGTGCTGGCTCTGTCAGCCGAGCATGGCCCCGGCTGCAGGACAACCCCGCTGGCGCCGCCGTCCTGCCGGGGCCGGAGTTGGGGGGATGTCCTTGGCCTTCCCTGTGGGCCGGAGGCAAATCCCCTGCCTGTCCTTCTTGCTTCCTGCCCCAGGCCCCGAGGTGAGGACGGAGAGCCCGGAGGACAAATCCCCCCGTGAGACCCTGGTGGGAGAGGCCGTTTTGAAGGGCTCCCCGGCGCAGGAAGGCAGCGGGGAGGAAAAGGGCCAGAGATCCCCCCACAGGAGGGTCTCCAAAGCCATCCCAGGGTGCTCTGAGGAGGAAAGAGCCAGCCTGTGCCAGGAACGCGGCCGGAGCTTGAGCCAGAGCTCCAACCTGGTGGTCCCTGAGCAGCCTCCCAGCAGGAAGAAGCCCTTCAGGTGCTTGGAGTGTGGGAAGAGCTTCAGGAACAGCTCCAACCTACTCAGCCACCAGCACATCCACACTGGGGAACGGCCCTACACGTGTGGGGAATGTGGGATGAGCTTCAGGAACAGCTCCACTCTCCTCACCCACCAGCGCATCCACACCGGTGAACGGCCCTACACGTGTGGGGAATGTGGGATGAGCTTCAGGAACAGCTCCACTCTCCTCACCCACCAGCGCATCCACACCGGTGAACGGCCCTACACATGTAGGGAATGTGGGAAGAGGTTCAGGAACAACTCTAACCTGATCCAACACCAGCACGTCCACGCTGGGGCACGGCCCTATGTATGTCGGGAATGTGGGAAGAGCTTTAGGCAGATCTCCCACCTTCTCAAGCACCAGCACATCCACACTGGGGAACGGCCCTACAAGTGCTTGGAGTGTGGGAAGATGTTTCAGACCAGCCCAGATCTCCTCCTGCACCACCGGACGCACACGGATGAGATGCCCTTCCGCTGCACCGATTGTGGGAAGGGCTTCCGGCAGAACTCCCACCTTGTCAGACACCGGCGCATTCACACCGGGGAGAGGCCCTACAAGTGTGGGGAGTGTGGGAAGAGCTTCACCCAGAGCGGTAACTTGACCACACACCAACGGACCCACCGGTAAGGGAAACCCCTGAGTGCCCCGACTGCAGGAAGAGCTTCAGGCTTCAGTCGATGCTTCCACCCTCAATGAACCCACTGATTGGGAGGCAACCCCTGGAGTCCAGTGACTGTCAGTCCATCCCTTTTGACCAGAAAGGGCCAGTCCCCTTTCACAGGGGCAGCTTCTTCCAACAGAACCCTTCCTGGGGGTGTGTGGAGATTCCTGCCTTGGCTGGTGACCCCCCAAGGTCACTGCTGGAGGTTGAGAGCAGAGATCTCCCCACGAGCGTTGGTCTGGGGGAGTTCCATCCATCTCTAATTAAGAATTATTGCTTTTGTGCCAGCTTTAGTAGAATTGCTTCTACAATTGCTTTAGTGTAGACACTTTAGTGTCTTATCCTGTACTGCTGGTACTTTTAGTGTGTATATTGTGCATAATTCTGCTGAAGACCTTTTGTCTGATCATTTGCAACCCTAAATAATTCATTTCTATCAACAGATCTGATTTGCCATCATTAAAACCTGGGTGACAAAAGTGGTTCAGTCACACCTCTGTAATTCCTCTAAACTGAAAATGTTGGCATAATCCAAGGCTGAGATTGGATCCAGCAGCTCCCAGCACCCCACAGGAATTTGGGAGCTCAGGGGGCCACCTCCCTTTCCCAGCTCCCCTGTGCCCAAAGACCCCATGGGACCATCGGACCTGCCAGACCCACCCCCCCTTTTCCACCCTTCTCCCTGTTTCTCCCACTTTCCCATTTTCCCCTCAATCCCCAGTCTCCTCCCTGAACAGTTTTTGGGTCCCAACCTGCCGATGCCTAAAATCTATTCTGGCACAGTTTTAAACTTTTATACTGTTGTTGGCTATTTAATATTTCTAAATATTATATCTAATCTTTCATAAGTGGGGTTAATTTAAGCAGTCTCTTCTCTCTCATTTTTAACTATGGTAGCAGGTGTTCATCACAGGTATCCTTGTGCTGAAGTCAGCAGCTTCTTCTCTCACTCACAGCATGCCCAAGGCCGGTTGATGGATTCCAGTGTTATCTCTGAGGCCTCTTGCTGGGCAGCTGCCTCTGGCTCCCTAGCCTGAACACATCTGGTTTCCCCCAATTCCCCCTTTTTTATTTTCTAATTGAAACACTAAAACTTGTGCAAAGCTACAGCGAACCAAACGTGACACACAAGAAAGAAAACATGGCACACTAAGCAAAATACAGAAAAACACAAAAATTCCAGTTACAGCTACAATGGCAACTTTCTTGAGTTTTGGACCTAGGTTAAAAATATCTAGCCAGCTAAACAAACTGTCTAAGCCTTGGTCCTTCTCTGCATTAAGCTGCGCTGTTAGGGTTTTTAATTGAGCAAGGCTTTGATGAATCAACTCTGAGTGACCAGAAAGATTCATGCAGCAAAGGCCTTCAAAATCTTTGCAACCATGTCCACGAGCCAATAGCAAAAAATCAATGGCTGCTCTATTCTACAAAGTGGCTTTCCTAATTGAACTGACATCGGTTAGTAAGGCGTCAGCTGCTGAACTTGGCAAGCCAGCAGCCTGGTCTATCCAAGGTGGTCAAGGCATGAGCTGTTCCAATTCCAGCTACAAGACTGGAGAATACTCTTTCAGCTGGGCCCCAGATATGTACTCTTGAATTGCAATTCTTATTGTATCGTTGCACGAATCTTTTTTGCCTCTTTTGAATGTGTGTGCTTATGGGTAATTTGTGAGGGTTAAATGATGTTAATTTTCCAAATATGCACGGTCCTCCTTTCGCTCTAGTGGGAATACCTTTCCAGAATCACAGCCCACAGATTAAGAAAATACCATTGGGCAAGCCAAGAGGCGTCGCCCCTGATTTTAATACTGTAGAATTGGGTGATTTACACCAAAAACGAGCCTTTTGGTATGTTCCAGAAGGAGATACGCCAATTGCCAATAAACTATTTGAATTTGAATCTGAGGGATCAAATTGAAAACAGAAAGGTGCAGTCAGACTGCCCATGACATTAATTTCTTGGGGTTCTATTGGAATTCAAGGAAAATTATTTTCAAGGTTTTGGTTATTGGCACATTGTGCCTTGTGAAGGTTAGAGAATTGTGGCAAGTACTGGTGTAGAAAGGTAATCCACTGGGTGCAATTGAAAGGAAGGCCTGCTAAACAGGTACGGAACGGATCAGTTGGGGCAGCCACAGACAAACACAATGTGTCAGTCCCGGTTGCATTGGCGAGTGTCACCCCGACGTTCTGGGTGGCAAAGGTGGTCCAGTCAGGAGGCATGGCTGTTGTTATGAAGATGATGCAAGGTAGGGTTGCACGAAACGTGAAGGTATCCATCGCGGTGCTCGATCTGTGGAGACACAAGCATAACCTTTTCCCCAGGTTATTAAGGGACAAGGACCTTGCCATTCTCTAGTAACTGGATCTCTGAACATTACTTCTGCCTTCCTCTCTGTGGAAACATGTGCTGGGACAAAGTGACGCTGTGCTGCAGAGAGATCTCCTACTATTCTATTTAGAAAGTTAAGCACATATAAAGCCTTATTTAAACACTCCTGGGGAGTTAAACCTGAACTTCCTCTTTTCTGTTTCTGCAACGTCTTTGAGTGTGCAGTGTGCACACTCAATTACAGCCTGACCTGTGGGGGTGTGTGGAATACTTGTTAGATGTTGTATTCCCCATTGTTCAAAAAATTCTTTTGTGCGTTTGGACATATAAGAAGGTCCAGTGTCTGTTTTAATTTGCTTAGGTACTCCCATGTGTGCAAAGGCTGTAAGGAGGTGACATTGTACATCCCAGCTTTTCTCCCCAGAATGAGCTGTAGCTACTAGAAATCCTGAAAACGTGTCAATGGAGACATGTACATATTTCAGTTTGCCAAAAGAGGATATGTGTGTTACATCTGCTTGCCACAACTGCAGGGGTTACAGTCCTCAAGGGTTGGTTCCTTCAGGAGCAATGGGAGTGATTAGCTGACAGTCTGGACAGGATGCTATGATAGAATGAGCTTGCTCTGATGTGAGATCAAATTATCTTTTTAATGCCCTTGCATTTTGATGAAAAAATTGATGTGACAATTCGGCTTGCTCAAATCACTGAGGTACTATTACTGCTCCTGCAAGTGCATCTGCACGTCGATTACCTCTGAAATTGGACCAGGAGGCAAGGTATGAGAATGCACATGGCATGATGAAAAATGCAAATTGCCTCTTTTCAACTAGAAACAGTAATTTTTGAATAGGGCAAACAGTGCCGCATGATTGACTTCTTTCAGATAGGAGTGTTCAATTTGTTGAACCACTCCCACAACATACTGAGAATCAGAAACTATGTTTAAAGGTCCTGGAAAGAGTGTAAGTGTGCAGATTACTGCTGATAATTCTACAAGCTGTGGTGACCCATCCACATGATGTATATCCTGTTGCCAGTCATTATCTTTCTGCCACACTACGACTCCATTTCCCGTTTTTCCTGAACCGCCAGTAAAGACAGTTTGTGCATCTGTTAAAGGAATAGGGGAGCAGTGTGTTCTCAGCTTCAAAGGAAAGTTGTTTAAACACTGTAAAATAGAACAAGCAGGTAGGTGAATACTTAGCTGACCTGTAAAATCACTTAAGGCAGTTTGAAATTCAAAACTAGCCTTCTCTAGCCATTGTAAATGCTCTGTTGTCATTGGCAAATACACAGTACGTGGGTCACACCTTGCAAGTTCCCAGCACCTAATGCAGCCTCTCTGAAATATGCGTGATATCATTTCTGGCTGAGTCGTTACTGTTTTAGAAAACTGATGAGCTGGAAAAACCCATTCCCATAAACAAAACTGAGTATTGTTCTTGTACAACTGGCCCAAGAGGCCAAAAGGTTGAGCGAGTCCCTTCAAGGTAACTGATATCACTGTGTTGCCTGTGTATTTTGGTGCTGAAAAAAATCTCCGGAGCAGTTAGTTAGTGGTGAGATAAGAAAGGGTTTATTTGCCAAGGCAGTCGGTGATATAGACGCACGCGCAGGCCGTGCCTGAGAGGTTACATTTTATAACATTATCCATCCAATCCCAGATGTGTCCACCCTTTGGCCCTTCCTCTGGTCCGCCCCGGGGCCTCCCCCTGAGAAATGGGTCTGGGGTGTATTTTGGGACCCCCCTTTCATCATCCTCATCATCCTCAGAGCACAAAGGGTACATTGTTACCTAATTTTTGACCGTATTCTGTGGTTTAGGCCCTGATATGCTGTTCTCCAAACAGTCTAGGCCTTTGCCTTGACAGAAGACTAAACACTCTGCTGTATTCAGAAGCAGATTGATATAGAATGGGGTAAAAGGGTTAGGGAATGTGTAAACAAGGGAAAGGAACAAGGGAGAAAATGATGACTGGATGCTTTTCAGGAGCAATAAAGTGCCTGTTTTCTGGTGTGTGGCATTCAAAATGGCCCAACCTTTCTGCTCAGGTTTTTCATGGAGGTCATTGGGTTCTTCTTGCGATACATTTCTGCACAATGAAATATTATTATGCATCTGCCTTCTAATTTAGTGTCTACCCACTGAATTTGACCCAGAGATGTATAAATGATGAATTGTGTTCACTGGGTATTTAAACAAAATAAAAGACCCTGCAGTGCTTTCTTTGTCCAAGATCCTTCTTCTCAGGTGTTCCTAAAGGACAGCACACTGCAGGACAGGGTGTATTTGCAAAGGGGAAGGGGACAATAATCCCAGCCCTGCAGCACTGCCAGGGAACAGCAGTGCTTGGTCTTTGCAGAGCTGCTCTCTTGCCACTTCCACACTGTCCTCCTGAGCCCCTTTCTCGCTGTAAGGCCTGAGTGCTCTCTGAGCACAGTCCTGGGGGGTGGAAGCCCTTGGAGCACAGGCAGGGACAGGCCCTGGGAACTTGTGAAGCAGAGTTGGGCTCCCTTCCAGCATCTCCAGGATGCTGTGGGATCTTCTGAGGGCAGGGCATGGACTGGGTCACTTCTTCTGTCACCTTGCTCCAGGGCTGCAACTCTCCTGCAGTGTCACCATGACACTCCTGCTCTCTGCTTTCCAGGTTCCATTTTCAGATCCAATCTTCCCCTCCTGTTCCCAGGGACATCCTGTAAGTGCTTCAGAGTTGCCATCCTGGGGCAGCTCCTGCTCAGCGTGGGCAGGCACAAGGTCTCTCCAGCTGCTCCTCTCC